TAGCTTTCTTGCTGCTTTCTAAAGCAGCTATCTAGTACAAAAAATTTTGAATTAAAATTTTATGTACTAAAAAAATGCTTTAGAAAACACCAAAAAAGCTATCACAAATGAATTTTTAGTTGTATATTTGCATTTTAAAAAAAATTATTATTGGCATAATAAAAAAAAATGTTCAACATTGATGACACCAATAAAAAATATATATTAATGCATTTAATTTATATCAAACCAAATAATTTATATGTCACTCTACATTTCTTAAATGTAAGTATTTTAAAAATATTAAATCAAATTGCCTCTTACGATTATGATATATATTTTGTCCTGAAAAAAAAAAAACATTTATTTTAAAATTATATATATTTTTAATTTTATGTATTTATTTATATTATCTATCTTATACTCTTAACACAAATAAAAGCATAATATTTTTTCCGCATGTTTTTTTGTTAGCACATCATTTATATGAAAATAAATATGTTACTCAAATAAGCTCAGATTTCACAGAGATTATTTCATGCCGACGAGAAAGCCGTCTGAATTCTGTAAGGATACACAATATATTCGTCTGAATTCTGTCATTCTGTGAGGATACACAATACTCATAAAATCCGAATGATTCTCCCATCCTGTCCGAACTCTGCATGTAATTTCTACATATTTCAAATATGACAACTAATTATATGAAAGTCACCCACCATTGCTTAGTTTGATTCGTGGACTAGTACGATTGGGAACCTCCAAATCCGTGCTCGATTCAGCGGCAACACCTCTTAAATGGGGCCTAATCAAATACGGGTCAGGAGTTTCTTGGGTGGGTGCCTCTTTTAAGTCTGTCGAGAATTAGTCACGCTGCTAAGCACCCTTTCGAGGTGAGAGCGAGTGGATAACCTATTAAAAAAAATTTATATGAAAGTTGATAGAGCATCTTTTTATATTAATAAATTAATATCAAGTCTTCATATATATGTTTCACATTTCTTAATTTTCTGTTAAATAAATAGAATATTTAGTTATTTTTCTAATATAAATTGTTTGATCATTATTCTGTTATAAATAAACCACTTTATTTCAATTTAATATGTTTATCTGTCATAAAAAATAGCAACAAATATTTTTTATCTGTCAGAAAGCTTAGTGAGAACGCGTGGCGACATTCTACTGGCGGCCGAACGTAGAGCTACGTCCTATGACCGGACCAAATAAAAGTTCCCCAAACCAAGCCTAAAATGCGAGCTGCTGAAATTTAAGGCCTGTCTTGACTAATTGGGCCAACAATCCAAGCTTATCAATAACACGGCCCGAAAGAAAAGCTGTAAAGAAACGGGTCCATTCAAGCCTCATAAACGATAATATTATGAGTTTATGACTTTATGATAATCAGTTATGATTATTTATAAGTTTAAGTTTGAAAAAGAAATGAAAAAAAAAAATATTTTAAATTATTAAATGTATCTTAATAATTATAAATTAAAAAATTCTAAATTTTTTATTTAAAAATCACATAATGCAACTGCTTTGTTTGAATATTAGGATAATAACTATGGTGATAGAGAGTTGTTATGAATTCTAAAACATTTTAAAATAATAATAATAAAATGGTAGTCAAACACTATTAATCAGATTATAATTAAAAAAATAAAATTATCATTAAGATGTATTAACCAATCAATCTTCTCTTTAAAATTATAATAAGCAGAAGAAGAGTTTATTGTCAGTCATTTGTACAAAATGTATTTTTTGGGTTGAGTTCGGCTCCAACCTGAAAATGATTCATCATTATTTTAACTTGATATGAACCCGATCTTATTATGAAAACAGGTCAGCAATCTGAACATGAATTCGACCAGCCTAAATTTGGGTCGACCCAACCCAACATGCTGACCCATGCACAAAGCACGTGATCAAGTGCCGGTTGCGGGCGTCTGGTCGAGCATGTGCTGCGAGTGAGTGGGGTCAAGCGTGGGCGAGTGTGAGGTTTAGTGTGGGTGAGGCAGGCCGCAAGTGTGTGGGTGCAGCCGTGCAGGGCTAGTAATGCATGCTCGAGGCAAGGCAGGCTGCAGATGCGGGACACCAGATAGAGCGCGACTAATTGGGCGCGTCAGGCCGCTATAGGATTGTCAACATAAGTCAATGGATCATGTTTGAATTTTATCCTTTTATTAAACCGATCAGATTCAAGTCGACTAGCTTCATATTCGATCAATTTCGCATAAATTCAACTAGTTAACATATTTTGAAAACTATAATAAAAAACTTTACTATTGGAATAATGGTTACAAGCTAATATTAGAAAATCAAAGAAAAATCAGAAGACCCTCACGGTCA